TATACAGGAAGACATGCTGTGTATATATAACAAATAAATAAATCTTTTTTTAAAAAAAAACTGAGTATATTGCATGTATTTCAACATGAAAATTTAATAGTCAGTAACACTATATGAACATTCCTTGAGGCATATTCTGGTACTCTTAGATTGTTAGCCATGAAAAATAAGTGTACGGGACTACATTGAAAAAATAAGAAATACACGCATAGAACAAATTCCCATTTTCCTTAGCTTCTGAAAAATGCCTCATGCTGTCATAGTAATTATTTCCACTGATATGACAGTATTTTGATGCCATGAGTAATGTGGATGTTGGCAGAAATTCTGCACCTTTTGTATCTTATCCTTGGTGATGTTTTCTCTTCTGGCAGAAGGAGCAGCTGTTAATAGTTAGTAGTCAGTGACTGTACAGTGTGATGTGATTTATGCCCATTAGAAGGTACACGACTGCCTTAGCTTACCCTTTGAGCCGTCACCCAGCCCATTTCACTCTTTTAATAAAAACTATTTTTTGTATCAAGACTCGAATTCTATGGACCTACATTAAAGTTAAGTAACCTGAAAAGTTATTGTTTACACTGGGTTATATATTCAACTTCCATAATTATCTGTATACCTACAGAAATGTTAAACTATGTGTATATTAAATAAAATGAATGAACAGTGAAAAGCAGAACTACAGAGTTAATAACCACCACCTTCCGGATTAATTTATCCCTAAAAAAAATTTACACACAAGAATATTAACATGCTTCTCTCTAAGTTTTTATACTATATTTTGATTACCTTCTTTCCTCTCCTCCAAGTCCTCGTAGATTTTCCCAACTTCCTAATCCCCAACTTCAGGTTCTTCTATAACAAAAGAAATCACACACTAGAACATGGGTTTACCTACTCGAGTATGAAGCCTTCACTGAGGTGGCGCAGACACCCAGTGACACTTTATTGGAAAAAAATGCTTTTCTCTGTCACAGCTGGTACGACGTGGTCAGAATACTTCTTGGCTAGGGGTAGGATTTAGTGATGAAAACAACCCTGACTTAAAATACAGATTTTCTCTAGTTACTAGTCTTTACAAATACAACTTCTTGAAGGAGCTGCTGTATCCAATGTGTCTACTTGGTCATTTCATATTTTCTCTGATTTCTGGCCCATGATATGAAAACCTATTTTGTTGTTGTTTTGTTAGGGTAAACAGTCATTTCTATACTAGGGCCATTGGCTTTTACTGCTATCCTCCATGTATCAATATTTGACTCAATTAACTATTTTCTTTATCTCACTATTTTTTTCCGTCGTAGATTTTAAGATTTTGATATTTCTTCCAATCTCCAATCTTTTTATGTAAATCCTTACTTTATGTTCTCTGGCTCACTTATTCTATCTATATAACTTTTTCAGGGTTTGACTTAATCCCTTGCCAGAACATATAACTTCCTTATTTCTTTTTTTTCTAGCACATATAATTTTAATTAAAGTGCTGTTAAATTGTATTAGAGAAAATGTGATTTTTGTTTTTCTGAGTCAGTTATTTTTTCTTACCATAATTATTATCGGTTTTATCTACTTATTTTTTTTCTTATCATATTGTCTTTACTTGATTTATAACATCATCTTATTTTTCCCAAATGTGTCACTTTGTACTTCGTTCCTGGTTCTCTTCATCCTCTCTTCTCAGTAATCATTCAGACCTCATTCCTTACATCTCCTTTCTACCAACATTTGTGTACTCCCTTATATTATCCAATGTATAGCTTTAAATATTCTCTACATTTGATTGATTGCCATATTTTGCAGTGCACCGTGCCTCCGTGTCTGCGCTCTGTGTGCTGGCACCCAGTTCTTGAGCTTTGGGCAAGGGGGCTGGAGTTTAAAATACACAGACACACACAGACAGAGAGACAGCGACACGGGTCATCCTTGAATTCCCCAAGAATTCCCCCTTTATTGTGTTCAGGGGCAGATATATAGAGATAGCCACGCCCCAGCCAAACCCACCAGAAACCACTCTCCTGCCATCAGGAACTCCTGAAGGTCTCTTGCTCAGAGCATCTGTAGGCACTCAGATCTGGGGATTACAAGAAATTCAGGATCTGGGGTCTCACTGCTCCCAACAGCCGTAGTAGTTTAGGTCATTTCATAAACACACTATGGGATAAGAGTTCAAATTTAAGAAATTATCTGGAAGATGACCTAAAGGCACTTTATGTGCAGCTCAGAAAGGGAAAAAAAGTAGCAGAAGGCAACAGTAAGGAGAACAGAACATAGGTGAGCTCGCTACAACTGTTGGCCAGTGGAGCTTGATTTCAACAGAGGAAATCTAGAAACAAGCATATGGCACTTCAGCTGACCTTTGAGAGAATAAAATTCCACAGCAGTTCTAATCCATCATGTATGGTGATAGTATGTATCCAGTGTCCAGGGAAGTCCCTCATGCTGAGGCCACAGTACTGCAAAGTCTATGTTGCAGATTCCTCTCATAACTGATGACCACATTTAGCTTTTGTGTTACCTTTATTCTAGCTGGTCTATCACCTGCACCCTTCTCTTCTTTGTGTCAAATTCATTCTAGTAGAAAGAGGTTTTTTAGTTAAAATTGCACCTTATGTTTTGTCAGGTTTTACCTCTTAACCTGACCTGTTTTTATTACTCTTATACCAACTTTATCTTTTATATAGATAAAAGATATGTAATTTCTGTCCATATCTGTTCTTGTATCATAAGATATGGAAGCAAAGGTCTCTGATTCATTTGTTGTTATCTCTCCAAATCTAGAAAATCCTAGTAACTGACCAAACCTGGAAGGAAAAAAAGATGTTAGAAGCAATCCTAATAGTCTAAATGTTTTACACTTTCATAGTTTCACAAGGTAATTTATATTCGCTTCAATTGGGATTGCATGTATGAATAATATAGATAAATAAATCATATAAGCAATTTACAAATAAATTTATACATTTTGGTATATATCATCAGTTTAAGAAATCAATAAACAACATATTTTCAAATTGTTTATCATTTCTTTATACTTTATTAAATTAAATAAAATATTCATATGAAAGAAAAAGCACATTTTTATTGAAGTACTACTGTGGTAGAAAATTTATAAAAGATATTGTATTATGTTACTCTATAGTACCTCTGCTGGCATTTAAAGACAGATATTTAATAAAGATATTTATTGAAAATGTAGAAATTTAAATAAAAGAGTTTATTAAAAGAGAGAATACTGTTAAATCATTTCCCCAAATAAATCAGTTATTCATAAAATGTTCACAAGACATTGGAGACCAAAGGAATTTAAAAGACAGTGAGAGAGATACAGTACAAATTCTATGATCAGAATCATTCTACTGGATCCCATTCAATTATATTTTTCTTATATTTTAGCTTAGTGAATGATTTCTAGAATAATTTTCTTGATATTTTAAAGATGCCAGTTTGCAATCCTCCATAGAAAAACAAGCAAGCAACTTTTTTAAAAAAGCAAATAATTCATGTCCTTTTACTAGATACAGCTCTGTATTAAAGGATGTAGGAAATAATCTAACATGGACAGATGTTCAATGCACAGCTATGAGCAGCGAGTTCCGTGTATGAATTAGCAAGACCTTAATCAAGGACATGAGACTTGGAGGTAAATTAGGCATCTCCAACAGAGTCATAGTTACAGGGTATGATGCACGTGCCAATACAAAACCCTGCAAGGCTCATTTAGGAAACAGCATATTTCAATTTATCTGGAACTAAAAATAAATAGAGAAGAATCATCAAGGAAACCACTAAAGTTACCATGAAGACCTTTTCTTTTATATTTGCCAAAATTCTTGCTCTTCATGCTGAAATAGCTTGAGATTTGTCCAGGACAGTAATATATTTTCATACTAGAAATATGTTTGTAGGGATAGTTTGTAGAGTAGGTTGGATTAGAGGGTATGCTGAAGAATAGGACACATTTTTATGATTCAGGGTAATACTAATACTTACTAAGGTATTTTTATTGGTACATTGGTCTTGGTATTTAGCATACATTTTATAAGAATGGACTACTCGGGGTTTGGTTTCATTTGGGGATAAAGTTCTGCTTTTGACCGCTTTTGAAAAATAATGATAGCTACTTTATAAAGGGATTCTCAATGAGGAAAATTTGAAAGTGGGGGTTAGATCATACAGTGTGATGTGATATTCATCTGTGGAAGTGAATGTTCAGTTGAATGTACCATGTTACATGTGAATAAAGGGTCAGTGGGAAGTTAGTTTCCCATCTCTGAATCTCTGTTAATTCAGGTACTGGTTAAACATATTTTTGCATGTCCTTACAATTAGCTGTTGTAGACTTAGGCTTGGAAATATTCACCAGAATGGGTCAGAGAATGGGACATTAATGTTACAGGATATTCAGATCCCAAAGATGATTATTAACAAAGGAACATAGAATAGCACCAGGAGGGAATGGGATGAATACTCATTGCATATTGTATGAAAATGCCCAAAGTATTTGAGTCTCGATTTTTGTGTTGTTTAGAGTTCTACAGGAAAATAGCACTAATAGGCCAGGCGGTGGTGGCTCACTCCTTTAATCCCAGCACTCAGGAGGCAGAAGCAGGCTGATCTCTGAGTTCAAGGCCACCCTGCTGGTCTACAAGAGCTAGTTCCAGGACAGGAACAAAAAGCTATGGAGAAACCCTGTCTCGAAAATCCAGGAAAAAAAAAAAAAGAAAATGGCACTAATAGGGGCTGTATGTGAAATTCCGAAGCCAAGAGGTAATACAGTCTGCCATCTGCAATTTGGAGAAACCATAAAGTAATTCATGCAATTGAGTGAGAATCCGAGGGCCTGAGAATGGCAGGGGGGCAAGGATGAGATTGTAAATCTTGGTTTGAATTTGAAGTCTGAGAAATATGAGCTCCAGTGTCAAATACAAAGGAAAGATGGATGGTCACAGCTCAGGCAGATAAAATGACTCACTCTTCCTCTGTGTCTTCATTCTTTTCAGGCTCTTAGTAGATGGGACCATGAGTCCACACTGGTGGTAACTGATTGTCCTTGGCTTTCATGGGAATCTTTCCTTTAACGACCATCAGTGGTATGTACAGAAATATTATTCTAACAAGCTATGTGTGATCTCTTAGCTTAGTCAGCTTTACATTTAAAATCCAATCACACATTCACTTTGACTGTTCTGTTGAGACTATCAACCAGCTTCTGAAAATCTAGTGTGTCTGCACAGTGGAAATATTTCAATTGTTTTGGAGCAGCGTGTTCTTTTTGAACATTTAGAGGGATTTAGTAATTTGAGATGTAATTTTCCACTCATAGAAACAAGTACATATTGATTGTGTGTAATGGAATTTTTCATTCATTTATTTGGAGAATAGATTCCTTTCCTCATCTAATCCCTAAACCTCAGTGTATGTATTGATGGTTTTCATTAAGGGCTATGCTAACTCTAGTGCTTGCTGTTATAGTTTAAAGTATCTGGAATATTGAGAAATTCCTCAGAATACTATGTTGTAATCAGAAGAAAGAGACAACAGATATATTTGAGCATATGTGCTTTACCAGGTGTGAACAAAAGCTTGTGGAAGTCCATGGACTATTAAATGACTGAGGCTTTTATGGTTCTAGTTCCCTGCTGCATGCTGAGACATCACTTACAATGTCAGTGCAAATGATTACATCCCATAATTTCTGTTACCTAGAAGGAAATGTAGTCACTTGCTGTTAAGTACTATGCAGGTTAAGATTGCATTTGGGAGGCATGATCTCATACTTGAAAATGCTTTGACTAAGTTACTAAGTGACAGGGGAGTCTGGGGATTTAAATGAGGCTAACAGATGAAACATTTTAAAAGATGTCTAGGTTGTGGTACAAAAACCACTGGCATGGCGCGTTAACTTGGCAGAGTTTGGTTATTAAGTTTTAGCTCTAGAGAATCTTATGTGAAACTCTGTTTGGAGAACTAAAACACAAGCCTCTGGGTTTCTACAGCAGAGCCACCATGTCTATTGCAGCCAGTTCTAAACCCTTCACAGAAAGAGTGACTGGCATTGTGTTGTATCTGAGTAATATTACTATGGGATGCCAAATGCAATCATTGCTGGAATATTTGTCATGAACTAATTACCTCTACCTACAATTTTAAAACACATTGGTATAGACACTAAGGGACTGAATTATGAATGGCTATGTTCTCTGTGACGTATAAAAGGGGTTAGAATGGAGTTACCCTATAACAGGGCAACAATGTCCCTAGTAGATAGCCATCATAGACTAACAAATAAAAAAGTCCAGTGTCAGAAAGGGGTTACTTCTTTTGGAGTTGTTGTGCTCAATATGTTTTTGTACATAGATTTAATATTATATACAAAAAGAAATGAGCCTATTTTTTTAACATTCAGAACTTTAACTTAGACAGAATAGTTTTCATTATAGATTATGTGGTCAAGTCTGAAGAGTGTGCTGGCTTTAATGGGTGCAACTGTATGATTTGCCTTTGCTTTTGGTAGATGTATTTAGAAAAGTAATTGGAATTTAGGGAACATCTTTGATTCTAAGCAGTTACTTGCATAAATAATTGAATTATTTTGTTTTTCCTTATCCCAAAATTTGATGAGTCTGGCTATTTTTTCTGAATAATTTTAGAATCATGGCAACATAGACATCCATTTACAAAGGATGTAGAAGAATGAGGTGCTTATCTATATAATTCAGCCCAAAATTACCTCAGACAATTAAAGTGAATAGTCTGAGATCTGAGTTATGTGGATAAAAGCTACAATTTTATCTCTGCCAAGGGCACTATTAGTCATAGATACTTCAAGATAATGGTGATGTTTTCCACAAAGTTCTATTTATTTTGTTGTGGTGATGCTTCTGTTTCTTAGTGCCTAATCTTACTTCTATGTTCTGTCACATTTAAGGAAAATCAAATTACTAAATGACTAGTTTCTGTCTGTTTAATTTGCTTTAAAAATAAACAAAAAAGTAGGTCTATCTAGTTTATATAATTATTAAACTCATAAAATTTACCAGATAGTAATCATCTCCCAAACTTTATGCTGTTGAAATAAACCAGTTGGACACATGTCTAGAATGCTTGAAATGTGTGTAAATTTCAGTCATATGGCTGTGAACTTGAGCTGTGAATTAAATGCATTACAATCTTTAACATCCATTAAAAGCATATTTATAGTTTGTATTAGACTCTTTGAGTCACAGAATTCAATAGTCTATTTTTTTTAAGATTGTATTCCATTACTTAGTAATTATGCATAATTGTTGCATTAGGAATGCCAGTTTTGAAGGGAAGACCAAAATAAGGCCAGTAATAATTATTGTTACTGACCCTTGTTTCTGAACAAACCTGAAGACAATAAAAATGAGAAGGGGGAATATGTGGTTCTAGGTATGGATAATAACTGATAGTATAGTGTATGATTTTTGTCACAATAATCAGTCTTTTGTCTTCTATTTTAGTAAGGACATGAGTTTGCATAGTAGTAACACAACATTGGAATGTGTAGTGCCTTTACATTTTGCAGGAAATTAATGATAAAGCAGTACATAAGCTAGATGGAGCATCACATCGGGCTAGTTAATTCAGAAGAATTATATGAAAATCTGCTTGGTAATTTGACAGACATAGTGCTGTCACGGATATTTGAAGAACTTGAGATTCGCAGATGCTTTATAGTTGCTTACATCAGAGACTATCACAAAGAAGTGAGGATTTGGCCCTTTGTTCACCCTTGCATCTGTAACATCTAGCATCATGTACGGTATAGAGTTCGAGTTCACTCAAGTTGCCAAATGACTATGAGATTTCTTCATACTTGTCTTCCAATATGTTCTTTCTCTTGATTTTTTTGTACTACAGGAAGAAATAGACATTGAGATGAGATGGATGGAAAAAAAAAACATGAAATTGAAAGGCAACGTATTGAAAATATTCCATCCTAGTTTGCTCAGATAAAAACTAAGACGTGCCTTGACGAATGCTTAACTCCTGATATGCCAAACTACCACTGGGTTCAGTTACCTCACATAACTTGGGAATATTTTCTCTCAAGTCTCTTCAACGTCCGTTCCTGAATAATGTCTCCTTCTTCTCCCTTTCATCCCAAACACAATGTTTTTCTCTATAACAGACCCAGAATTACAGTCATATTTTCTCTTCTTGTCAAAATATGTTCTCTCTCTGTGTAACTCAGAGCTCAAGAAGATAACACTGTTTATAAACCTAAAACAATTTCAAAGAGCCTGGGAAAGAGTTTAACCTTTGTGGTTAGAGTTTGAGGCAATTCTTGCTTTATGAAGTGTATGAGAGAACTTGACATGTTCTGTAAATTTCAAGTAGTTCCATATTACTCAAGGATGAATGAAGAGTCTATAAGAACAAGTTAAAGTGTTTTTAGTGGCTCATATTCTGATTCCTGATGGTGACTCATAAGTTTCTAGCCTGAAATAATAAGTATGGTCATACCATCTTTTACCAAATTTCTAAAGAGAGCAAAGGAGTTTTCTGATAAAGTGCTTTGATTTACCTAGCATATTTTAAGTAGTACAGGTGTTTGTTTTATTAAGAAGTGTGCCAATGGCAACTGATAAAACAATATGATAAGATAATCAGAAAGCAGAGAAAAAAATCCCAGCAAGTAAGCAATCTCAGATAAAGATTTAGAAGTTATCTGGAATATCAACCTATGGATATCGTAATTTCATATGCCCAGACTATGGCTCATAGGTCACAGGCATCATCATTTAGCAATAAAGGCATGCTGTTATCAATAGATGAAGGTATATTTGGGGATAACAGGACCAGAAACTCAATGAGTTGGTTGGTTTTAAATGAATGAGTAAGGATATTCTCTCAAATGGTGTGGCTGTACCAGGAAGTAATACTTATGTTTAATAAAGACTGCCATCACTGGTAGTGAAGGAAGTCATTGCAGAGGGAATTTTTAAGGATGTAAATTGGATGTTAGAGGCTGGATAAATCACACGATTGAACGATTAGGTAGACATGTCATGCAGAGAGCTTGTCTAAGAACACAGAGATTGTAGAATAAAGAATCCTGAGAGATGTATCTTTGACGTGGAAATGACAGAGATGAGGGAGGGGAAAAGGAGTATGAAGGGAAGGAGGGTGGGAGGGATTGGGAGATGGATTTGTCTGTAGTTTCATAATAAGACACAGTTTTGTTGGTTGCTCTGTGTGTTCTTTGTGAAGTGAAGGGTGATGTTTTCTGCCTGTAGTAAGACTGCTTTTGATTGCAGAGCTCATCCTAGACTTCACAATTAATATTAGAATCCCGAGGAAGTGTGATTAATTTTCAGTCAAATTCTCTGGATGATTCATCAAATTTTATCAAGATAGACTGCAGTCCTAAAACCACTATGTGGTTTCATGAGAACTGCGGTATAGAAAGTCATCCTTTCCCTCTGAACCTGACTTTGAATTTAGTGAGTTATACAAAAACTCAGCTGAAGTCATCTGACCTGGAACATCAGGTTTATGGAGCTGTTTTTCCTTTGACTACTTTGATCCAGAAGAAATAGTTATTACTAACTTTGAGTGTTTTCTGTATTTTCAAATTCTTTCACATGTGTCTTCTTTTCTCTTGTGATGAGTTGTTTAGCAAACTCAGTCAGGCTGATTTACATAAAAATACTGAATCAAAGACTAAGAGAGGAAAGTTGAAGCCAACCTTGTGACTATTCCAGAAAGAACTGAAGATGTTTGGGGAAATGATCAGTAATGAGGCTGGTGATTCCTTAAGGGAGAACCTCGGATTTATAGCCTGGAAAGGCTCCTAATTAGAGTGAGAATGGAAAAAGATTTTATTCCTGAACTGGAAAACACCTTAGGCTCTACAAGCCTGTGCAGTTAGAGAAGATCTTGCTGATGGAGACACGATATCCAGTATGTGGTAGTTACTCCAGAATGTCTGTGGTGGGAACGAAGTGAATGAGAAAGGAGTGAGTCCCAACCTAGGGGATTTTTCTCAAGCTATAGAATTGATTTTGGGGAGAAGTGATTGAAATCCAATTTTCCCAATGACTAGGTTAGTTATTCTGTCCATTAAATTAAGCATTATTTCAAAGAATTGTGGAGGAAACCACAAAATTTACAGTTTTAAAATGAAAGACTGCAACAAACTATAAAAGAAATAAGCTGAGTTATCAGAAATTTATAATGAAATTATAAGTTTCTAATGCAGTATTTTGGGTTGAGCGCATGTGCCTGGCAGTTGTGACCATGATGCTTCACTCTTACCAACTTTGCTGGTTATACTAATAATTAGAATGTAGTCTCTAGAGCAAGACAGAACTTTTTTCTCCTCTTTATGATTTGGTGGTTGCCAAATATGAGTGCAATAAAGATCAGTTTTTTTCCACAGGTGACTGAGCTCCAGGTCTACAGATGATACTTTTTTTCTAAATTTTTAATCCCCATTTTATTTCCTTTGAAGATAACAATGTTCCTGAACCCTCTGCTCATCACTTACCATTCTGGTTTCCAGTTAAAATGCTTATCCCTATCTATGCTATTTCAATAAGAATGCCTTCTCTAGCTACTCCTGTGTTAATTTGTAATGGAACTATTTATGCATATTTCTTAGTTTTGGTCATTTCTCCATAAATATTTATTAAAATCTATTGATCAATCGCTCTGTTAATGCTGTCACAGAAATTAGTGAGAGTAGACAAAGTTCATCTTCATAAAAGTACTTGTATATGGAAATGTGTAGAAAATATAAATTCATGACTATTATTATTCTTATGATCAAAAATAATGTTCTTTTAATTTAATATCCCAAATATATCATTTCCAGATGATACAAAGCAGTGAACCGATATTAAGCAGCCCATTTGCCAATTTTCAGAGATTCCGCTATGCTCCATGGTTTTCCTTGTGGCAGAAGGAAAGACCATTAAGCAAGTGATGTCAACTCGCATAAGGAACACATGGGAGTAGATAGCAGTTTTGACCTTTGAGATGCTGGACCAGATTGGACATGGCCTTGGGTAACAAAAAGTCACAGGCCCTCCCATTGCTCTCTCTCTCTCAAACCTGAGTGCTGGATTCCGTTCCTGTTTCCCATTGTGATCTGTGAGTTCCCCTTTTAATAACCCCTTATTATACCCTGTTTGGAGCTAGTGTGGGATTACTTCTTCTTGTGCTTTCCCCTTCACCTCTCATTTGTCTTCTTTCCAGCTACTGTTCATCTTCTTGAATGGTTCAGAGTCTTGCTGGCCATGGGTATCCTCTTGGAAACACTGGGCGTATATCAGTCAGCCTCTCTTCAGAATGTGCATTCCCAAGTCTATCCTTACTGTCACCATAGCCTCTGTATAAACAGCACTGGGTACTTAGTAAGAGTTGTAGGATTCTTCTAGAAGGTATTGTTTGTTCCCTATGTGCTGCCTGGCTGGAGGAGAGGTCAATATGAGCAAAAATATTGACATTAACCTACATGTAAAAGTTTCTTATTTATTTTAACTGGATGGTATTTTTTTCTTAATTTTCACTATCAAGTCTAGTGTTTTGTATATATTTTGGACACAAGAGTTTATTCTTTATATTATTTGTAAATACTTCCCTGTTTTGGCTTATTTTTTAATTGTGTTAATAATGTCTTTGGGAGGTCAATTCATGTACTTTTTAATCTCGTAGGTCATGCTTTGGTATTATAAGCCCAGATTTACAAAAAATTTTGTAAAATATGTAGCAGGATTCTAATAGATAACACTAAACAGTAACAAGATAAAATATAAGATAAAACAAAAACAATCACATCCACGTTGGGCAAAGTCAGTCAACAAATGGTAACAGATTCACCTTACAGCTTATTGGTTACTTGGTACTTCAGCTACCAGGGGTAATTTGGTAGTTTCCCCTTAGTAGAGCGAGAATGTTTTGTTGAGTCAGAGGAAGTGATTTTTGAGAGGCCGACCCTTCTCTGGCACTCTTGGTGGTGCAGCAGTTACCCTAGGCATGGTCTTTAAGGTTTCGTCATTGATTGCTGCCCCTCCACACACACAGTCCTTTAGCTTCCTTGGGCCTGACTGGGCTACTGCAACACTTTTTTCCCCTTTCCCTTTTCTGCCTCCCCTTCAGAGCTGCCTGAAATCCCACAGCTTCTCTATACCTCCATGGCTTTCATCCCTTTCTGGCAAGCCTTTGAGCCTCTTCAAAACCCTGGTACCAGGTGTCATATCTCCTTGGGGAAGTTAGCCCTGATCCCCGTTGGGAGCAGTGATGACCCACTAAATGGTTTGGTCCTTATCCAGTCTTCCTGAGTCCTGGAGATACCCTTGAAAACAGGAAGCTGTGACATTTTTCCTTGCCCCTCTTCTCATCCATGGGAATGGTGTCATCTATATTCTATCATTCCCCATTGGAATGCCTTTTAGAAAACCTCCAACTTCTCCACTTGGCATCCATTCTGAAGGACTCCAAACTTACTCACTTTTGGAATCCAATTTGACCTCAATATCTCTTAGATAACCAATCCAAATGGCTACCTAATGGTACCCTAGCTCCCAATATTATTTGGCACTTTTACAACTACTCCAAATGATCATGGAAATGGGAAGATATTCCCCAGAGCTACATTTCAACTTTCTTTTATCTTTGATCTTAGCCCTATCTCTGTTCTTCCTGTTCTCCTACCTAACTTATCCTAGCTATGAAGTCCAAACCACTTCTGATTCATTATATGTGCCTCCCTCTACCTGTTCTCAACCCTCAGCTCCTTCTCTTCCTCCAGAGTCTCCAGTCTGCCCCTTTCCCTTTCCCATGATAGGACATTCTAATTATCCCTCTTTGGCATCCACCACTAACTGTCAGCCCACTGTTGGTACTTAGTCCTCCTGCTACTGGCTCCTGCTCTTTCCAGGGACCTCCTCCACTTCCCTCTATTCAGCCTCACCCAGCTATGGCTATGGTTCTTTTTTTTGGTGACTTCTGGGGTGGATTGCTTGATCAAGGTACAAGAGGAGGAGTGGATTGTGGGGTGTGAAGAGAGCAAGGGTGGGGTAAAGTGGGGTGGGGGAAGGACTGGGAGACAAGGGGTT